TGTATATATATATATATATATATAGATATATATATATATATTCTTTTTTTTCTTTTCTTTCACAGATGGAAATACTGCTGGGTATTTTGCCATTAATGAGACATCTGGAGAACTTTCAACTACACGTCCTTTGGACCGGGAGCAGGTCCACAACTTTAGTCTCGTCATCCTGTGTTCTGACCTTGGAGACCCCCCAAGGAGCTCCAGGATGCAGCTGCAAGTGAGGGTTCTGGATGAAAATGACCACAGCCCTTCCTTCCCCCTGCTTCACTACCAGTCCTCTGTAAGGGAAGACATGGAAATAGGGACCACAGTTCTTGTACTCTCTGCTACAGACGAAGATGAAGGTTTGAATGGGAAAATCGAATATGTTTTAGTGGATGAGGCTTTTGGTGCATTCTCCATCGATCCGGTGACAGGTGCATTGAGAACTGCCCGTAGCCTCGACCGAGAAGCCATATCCCAGCATGTATTTCGGGCAGTGGCTAGAGACTGTAGCCTCCAGCGTGCGCGGAGCACCACAGTAACTATACACATTAGCATCACTGATGTCAATGACAATGATCCAGTTTGGGAGCAAAATCCCTTTGATATTTTTCTGCCACCTGAGTTGCCTGGCCATGTGGTAATTGCTACTCTGAGAGCTGATGACCCAGATTCGGGGCTTAATGGAACGGTCACGTTTACTGCTGCAGAAACCAAATCAGCATTTTCTATCAATAAGTACACAGGAGAAATTCGGCTTCTGCAAAGCCCACCTTCGGAATATTTCCCTATGTGGGTGCAGTTAAAAGCTATGGACCAAGGGATCCCCCCCAGGACAACCACTGGTCTCTTGGTCATTCACGCGGAGGAAGAAGAAGTAAAACTTTCCTTCACTCGCCGTATCTATAGAGGGATTGTGACTGAAAATTGTGAGGCAGGTAAGTGCCCCCTCAAGCTAATGTAGAATGTGTATGTTTTGGCCAAACACTTAGAACTAGGGACCATAGGACAGTTCTATTCTTTAACAGTTTTCTTAGCATGTAATTCATAAATCATTCAATTCAATAGTCCAGTCACACCAAGAAGAGTTTTACAATAATCACCACAATCAGTTTTAGAGCATTTTCTTCATTCTTGTAGTCATCATCATTAGTTTCTCATTTCTCCTCAACCTCCCCTGCCATACCCCCAAGGAACCATGAATCCAATTGCTATCGCTATAGGGTTACCTATATGGGATTACCTATCTGGGATTACTCTATAGGCTTACCTACCTGGGATTTCATATACAGAAAACACATTTTAAAAAATTAACAACAATAACAAAGTAAAAGAAATAAAAACCCCAATCAAAAAGAAAGCAGAAAATATTAAAACCTAGAACAAATTTCAAGTGGATCAGAGGAAGATCAAATGTTCTGTTTTGGATTCACTTATACATTCTTGAGTTTAACCTGTATGGGGCATAGCAATTTTCATCCAAACAATTCTATTAGAAAAATACATTCAAATACAGTATGACAAATCTTAAAGATAGCAGGCCCCCCCCCCATCTGTCAGTTTGTCATACTGTGTGTGATGCTGGAACTCAACAAGACAACCAGAAGGAATGAATGCACTGAAAGATCTGTCTCCAATGACTCTTGAAGTTTCAATTCATTTACATTTATTGTCTCAAAAATCTGTGTGAATCCTTAGCAAGCGCATATGTCTAAAAATACGTCCATAGAAATGTCATGAAAGGTGAAGTATGAGGTCCTGGCAAAATGCTTAAACTCTATCTGGGCTTAAATGCAGACTCTACTTTTGTGTGCCATGGAGCAGCTGGACCTGTCTGAGCTGCTGTGTCCTAATCTGGAAAATGGGGATAATGATTGTTCATAGAAAGCACACGGATAATGCCTGACACACAATCCACAAGGCATAACCGTGAACACTTATACACCCATTACTACTGTTACAATTACTTATATATGAAACCCTGATATTTGTTTTTGAAGGAATTCAAAATTCAGAGCAGACAAAGTTCAGAGCAGGCTTCTGTGAATTATAACTATATCTCCTCCTAATGCTACTGTTATTTTAATTATGTTTCTATCATGCAATAGGAAACATGGAGAAAAACTGATTCACTTAAATTAGCTTTTTACCCAAACTGGAAAATTCTCCTTCAGATAGTTGTGAATTGAAAGACATTCAATCTGAGATAATTAGACCTGAGCAGTGTGTGGAAAGGGAGCCCTGGCAATGTAGTGGTTTTCTTCGGGTCTGTGGTCCAGGAAGTCGGCAGTTTGAAACCACCAGGTGCTCCACAGGACGGCCTTTCTACTCCTGTTAACAGTTACTGTCACAGGAACACAGGGTCGCTATGTGTTGGCATGGACTTGATGGCAGTGAATTTGAGTGTGTGGAAGGAGGCCCTGGGCCATGCAAATGGTGAATGAAGCCTCTACTACCAGCTGGAAGGTCCATGATTTGAACCCATCCAGATGTTCTTTGAAAGACAGGCCTGGTGATCTACTTTAGAAAGATTACAGCCTGGAAAACCCTATGGAGCATAGTTGTTCTCTGTCAGGTCTCCACGAATAGGATTCCATTCTACTACAACCAACAACAACCGGAGTCTAATGTCATCCGTCAAGTGGATTCCATCTCATAGTGGCCCAGTGGAACAGAGTGGAGCTGCTTCTTAGGGTTTCTGAGACTGAAAATGTTTACTCAAGTAGATAACCTCATCTACCTCCTGAGGTTGATGGGTTTGACGGCCAGCACTAAACCCACTGAGGTACTGGGGTTCCTTCCAACAACAAGTACATGGGTAAGTTGGAGCTGCTGAAGGGCAACTGGTTTTTACTGGCAGCGAAAAAATAAATGAATACTCTGACCCTTTCGCCAGCCACAGGGCAAAGCCAACAGGCTGAAGGGTTTGAGAGAGGAAGCGATTAGTGGCTAAAGGTCTGATATGCACTGCTTGTCTGTTCATGCTATTTTGAGTTCGTTTTGCCATTTTACAGTGATTCATTTTCAGTTGATCCATATTTACATACACCTGCCATTGATAAGAAAACTGGAAATTTTGTGGAATATTTAAAATTGCACATTATATCTGTGAACAAAAAATTTACATTAAATTAAGGATGCCCTCAGTTGCAGATAATTAGTATAGCTTTGAACTCCTTTGAAATTTTGCATTCCCCATGGTGGTGATCTGTTTACTTAGACATCTTTTATTATAAACATGATTGAGAGCCAATAGGAGTAACCCTCACTAAATGAAATAACAATGACTTTCAAAATAAGTCAGAAGTTTTCTGCCTGTTCGCTTATATTAAATGATATTTCCACATGTTAAATGTTAAGCAATATGAAATATACATATCACTGCTGCCACTGTAACATTGTATTGGACTGCTAGCTGCAAGGTGAGTGGTTCAAACTTACCAGCCAATCAGGGGCAGCAGATGAGGTTATCTGCTGCAATCCAGCCTCAGAAAAACTATATAGGGTTGCTGTGAGTCTTTCTGGTCCCATAAAGAGTTACAGCCTCAGAAACCCACAGAAACCCTCTCCTAAGGCTGCCATGAGTTGGCATCAACTTGATAGCAGTGAGTTTGCGAGAATATGAATCAGAAAAAGGCTTTCTGGTGGAGGAGAGGTTAACACTTTGGGCTGATAACCTAAAGGTCAGAAGTTCAAACTCATCAGCCCCTATGGGGAGTAAAACGTGTGATTTTCTGCTCTGATACAGCCTTGGAAACCCAGAGGGCAGTTGTACTCTATAGGGACTCATAGAGGGTCCCGATGGGTCAGTATTGACTTTGAAGGCAGTGAGTTTGGTTTTGGTTTAATGGGCACATATCCAAATCCAGAGCAATCCTTGGCGCACAAAATATCATGGATGAATCAATTTTGAATAGATTGGATAAAATCATAGAATTTTTAAGCCCAGCCTTTTCCTACATATGTGAACATAAATATCTGTCTTTGAACACAATCAACTCTTTCAGTCTCTACTTGAATGAAGAACTGATTGAGAAGTTAGAACAGTGGTTCCTGAACATGGGTATCTGACATGTGGTCTATGGTTCACTCTTGCAGGTTCTGCCTCATTAGGGCTGAGATCCAGAAACTGTTGTTTTCTGGAATCGAAAGATGGTTTGATTGCCCAACAAAGCTAGAAAGCCATTTATATGATGAGCTCAGCTTTCCTCTTTATGCCTATCCATTCATTCTAGTTCTGCTAGAATAAATCACTGACTGCTCCCCATAATCACACTTGCGATATTTTACTTATTCCTAGATATTTATAAATTCTATTCTAATTGTATATTGTGGGTATAGCATGTTTCTTCCCGAATATATTGTTGTTGTTAGTTAGTTAGTTAGTTATGTGCCATTGAGTCAGTTCTGACCCATAGCAGCCCTGTGCACAACAGGAGGAAACACTGCCAGGTCCCGTGCCATCCGCACAATTGTTCCTATGCTTGAGCTCAGTGTTGCAGCCACAGGGTCAATCCATCTTGTTGAGAGCCTTCCTTTTTTACACAGCATGATCTCTCCTAACAGTAAGGTTGGCTAGTTCTTTCAGGTACAGTGACTCTGTGTTTTTTTTTTCACCTTCTTTTGGTACTTTCCACATGATTCAATATTTCCCCCTACAATCTTTCAATGCTGCAACTCAAGGCTTCCAGGGTATATGAATACACCAAATACCCTAGAAGCCCTGCCCTGTGGAGCTTACATTCTATAAAGGAGTAAGTGATAGTACCAATGAACATAATAAAAAGTATAGAAAGTGTAGAAAGTGGTTTGACATACACCGGTCAAGGTAAAGGCTAATTGAGAGTACTAGGGGAGAGGACAAATCTAAATTTTACATAAGTGATCAGTGTAGAAAATCATTGAATCACTGAGATTTGGACAAGGACGGGAAGGAGGTAGCTATGTGAACATTTGACACGGGGAGAAGCATTTTAGACAAAAAGAAGGGCTAGTGGCAACCTGTCAACTTTGTTAGGAAAAAAAAAAACCCAGCAAAGAACCCTCTCTCAGCAATAGAGTGGGAAAGAAGAAGAAGAGCAGTAGGAAATGAGGATTGGGGGATCACGTGGGCCATTGGCTTCAGACATGAGACACAGGACACAGTCAAGAAGGAAGGAGAGGTGTAAGAGTGAGAGAAGTTCTCCACACACAGCAACACTGGACCTTCAGTGTCCTCACAATGGCAGTTATGTTTGAGCCCATTGTTCCATCCATTGTGGCCAATCCATCTCATTGAAGGCTTCCCCTTTTTTTGCACTGCCCTCTGCTTTACCAAGCATGATATACTTCTCCAACGGCGGATCCGACCTGATGATCATGGTCTAGTTATGTGAGATGAAGTCTCTCATCCTTACTTTTAAGGAGCGTCATGATTGTACTTCTTCCAAAACAGATTTGTTAGTTGTTGTTGCTTTTTCTTTTTTTGGTCCGTCCACAGTATATTTAATATGCTTCACCAATGCCACACAATTCAAAGGCATTAGTTCCTTGTAATTCATTCTTATTCATATCCAACTTTCATTTGCATATGAGACTGTTGAAAATGCTGTGGCTTGGGTTAGATTCAGCTTACTCTTTAAAGTGACATCCTTACTTTCTAACACTTTAAAGAGGTCTTTTTCTGGATATTTGCCCTTTGTAATATGTCATTTGATTTCCTGGCAGCTACTTCTATGGCCATTGATTACAGATCCAAGTAAAATGAAATCCTGGACAACAGCAATCTTCTCTCCATTTATTGTGATGTTGCTTATTGATCTAGTTATGAGGACTTTTGGTCTCTTTATGTTGAGGTGTAATCCACATGGAAAGCTCTGTAATCTTTGATCTTCATCAGTACCTGCTAAGTTAATGAAAGAAATGATGAGGGGGAAAAACGAGCTGCACAGGAGATTTC